CCGTGCTCCCAAGCGCCACACTCTACCGAGTGCGCCACTGGGCTGGCCCTAAATCCTGTTTCTAACGGATAAATATCATCACAGTCTCTTTTGTAAAGATTTTCTTTTTTTTTTTCCTTTTTGTCTTTTTTCGTGACCAGTAACGGGATCGCAACTGGTAACGGGATCGCAACCCTTGGTGTCGCGCCTGCACCGCGCTCAGCCAGTGAGCGGACCAGTCTCTATATGGGATCCAAACCCTCGGCAGGAGCGCCACCGCGCTCCCAAGCGCTGCACTCAACCGAGTGCGCCACTGGGCCGGCCCTAAAGATTTTCTAAACGTTAAGCTTTTTTTTTTAAAGATGACCCGTAAGGATCTTAACCCCCAACTTGGTGTTGTCAGCACCACGCTCACCCAGTGAGCAAACCGGCCATCCCTATATGGGATCTGAACTTGTGGCCTTGGTGTTATGAGCACCGCACTCTCCCAAGTGAGCCACAGGCCGGCCCTAAACGTTAAGCTTTTATTTATTTTTTTTTCCATTTTGTCTTTTTTACTGACCAGTACGGGATCACAACCCTCGATGTCGCGCCTGTACCGGGGACCAGCAATGGGATCGCAACCCTCGATGTTGCGCCCGCGCCGCGCTCAGCCAGTGAGCGGGAACCGGTCACCACATGGGATCTGAACCCTCGGCGGGAGCGCCGCTGCGCTCCCAAGCGGTGCACTCTCCAGTGCGCCACCGGGCCAGCCCAACGTTAAGCTTTTTAACCAAGCATCAATTACCAGTGCTCAGTAGAATTTAGGTTTTCAGTCTGCCTGCTCAGATCTTCCTTTCAATAGTGAACAAATAATACAGCTAAAAGATCTTGGAGAGCCAAATATTTAAAACAAACATTTGTGAGTCTCTTTTATAAAGGGGCAGGTCAGTGGCCTTTGCTTCTTATCTTGGGCCATGTAACTAAAAAAAATCTGCTCTGACCTGGTCAGCTAAATTGCAGTGCCCTGGGAGATCTGGGGTGAATCAGGAGTCATGTCCCATGTCCAGAAAACATTATTATAATACCATTTTTATATAGAAGCAGACAGACTGGTGCCAGAAAAGTAATAACCTAGAAAGCTTCTTGTAACCCTTACCCTAGATCTCTGCATGTAGGATGTAACGTAGTAACAATCCCAAATCTATACACCAGGTACAACTAACAGAAAAACTGATGTAATGATTAGGGGGACTGTCCTCTTCTCTCCCCTTTGATTTACTCTCTTTGTGTGATAATAAAATGCTGAATTCTGCTGACCTCCTTCGAAGCACATTCCAAAGCAACTTGGCTGGTGTGTCATTCAACGCACCCCCTTGAGTGGGTGAGGAGGATGCACTCCTACCTTCTGCCACTCAGCCTCTGTGCCATGTGTGAAGCCCAGCAGGTGACAGAGTCCATGGGTGGCAGTCACCTGTGAGAATAATTTAAAAACTGGCTCAGGGGATGATCCAACAGGAAGCTGCCCCTTCAGGAACACTCCCAGGGCCATGGACAACATTTGGTAGGTGGCAGAATATGGATGAAAGAGCTGTCCTGTGTTGGGGATGCTGGGGCAGGACCCCACAGTTGCTGTGAGACCCCTGGGCAGGAATTAAAGTACCCAGACTCAATTCTCTCCTGTGTAAAATGGGAACAATACACCTGATATCTGATTCATTCAGTAAATGTGGAGCACTATCTCAGGCCGGACACTGGGCTGGGGAAGGAACAGAGAGCAGAGAACTCTCCAACGGGCAGGAGCAACCTTGGCAGGGGTTACAATTAAAAATAATTAAGCAGCAAGTAGGAGAGGGGTAAGTGCTGGGGAGTAAGTGAGAGGGGACAGCATGGGGGTGTGGGCTGGGGCTGGCCTCCCTGAGATAAGAGGGAAAGAGGGGAGGGCAGAGCCTGCATCCCAGGCCCAACCCCAGGGAGATTAGATGGTGTTGGGTTAATGAGAATTAAATGGGGGCAGTAGGCCTCGAGCAGACCCTGATTTTACTGATCATTCTGTGTAGAGCTTCAGTGTGGAAAGTAGGGCAGGGGCTTGGGGGGGGGGGCGGACAGAGGACGCTGGAGGCAGAGGGGGAGCAGCAGCTACCAGCCAGTGGGGAGGACCCGCCATAGCCGTGGCCGTCTCCACTTGGGACAGGGTTGGATTAAAACCCACAGGCAAGGGGCACCAGAGCTGAACCCAGAGCTGGAAGAGGCAGAAGAGGAGGGAGATCTGTGAACTAGCAGGTTAGGAATCCTCCTCTGAGCAGGTGGAGGCAGAACTCAGGGTGGTGGTGGGAGAGGAGCAAGAGTGGAGATGGCTGCAATCTGCCCGAGGCTTCCCCACAAGGGTGGGGTGTGGGGGCTGGAGGTGGATCAGGGTCCATCACCCACGTGAAGATCAGGATCTCCCCTGGGGTGGGGATGGAGGGAGGTCAGCCGAGGTGAAAGTCCCAGAGGATCAAGGAAACACGGAGGACAAGAAGGGGAAAGAGTAACTGGAAGGTACAGCAGGGAGCCAGAGCAGAGAACAGCCTGTGCCCATAGGATGGGGTCCTACGAGTGGTGGGCTGGCCCTCCAGTCAAGGTAAAATGGAGGCCCACAGGAAAGGCTCTGGGCCTGAGGAAATGCCAGGCACAGACCACGGAACAGAATCTCCTGCAGATGTTCATACCTCCCCTCTCTCTCCTCTGGGGGCACAGAGCTGCTGGCCATAGGGATCCCAGCGCTGAACCTCGGGCTGGGCCACTTCCTACCACCCTCAGGAAGAAAGTTTGCAACTTCCTTCTCCCATGACAGGACATGCACAGCAAATGTCACCCTGATTCTGGAGGGAGCAGTCAGGGCTCAGGCTCCTAGCAGAGGTCACACCCGTTCACACTGGTCTTGCTGGGGAGCTCTGCTTCAAGTCACAAAGGAGCACTAGGATCCCCAAAGACAACTCAGGGTGTGGCTGTTTGGCCAAAGGAAGACATCTCAATTGAATCTATGATCCATGGGCAAGTTAAATATGACTCAGTTACACATAGGGCTTTTCAGAACACTTTTCCCTTTTTTTTCCCCTTGCACCAAACTGAGAAACTGATCTGGATAGTTCTGGAGGCTCAAATACTCCCCAATGTGGGAAGCTTAGTAAGAAGCTGATCCAGCAAGTCTCAGTTAGTGAACAGAGCCTGCAGGTCCCCAGAGATAAAAGCCAAGATGGCTCCTTCTGGGAGCTCTGGTTCTTTCAGTTGTGTCCTCTCCCTCACCTAACACTGCACAGGGCCTGCAGACTCCCCCTGCTTGGGCACTCCCCTCTCTCTGCTTGCACGTTCTCCACAGTAACCTTTATGGTTCCCATGGATGCCAGTGTGGACTCCAGGATTGTGTTCCTTAACCTCTTTGCACGGCCCCTGTTGAAAAGCCAGGATATGTGATTTCAGCATCTCCACTTACAGTCAGGATGTCATAGTAATCTTCACTTCCTTTGCACTGCTGGAAGATATACTCTACTCCTAGAAAAATGTCTCCCAAATTATAGTCATCTGGAACATCAGGCTGCGGAAATTCACCTCCTTTCAGATTCTAAAAATAAGGAGATACAGACTTGGAGAACAACACCTCAGGGACAGTAACCCGACCACAGGCTAACAGACTTCATCCTGGAAGGCCCTGGCTTGCAAGTCTCATGGCAGACAAGCCGTTGCTCTCTGACCACATCTCTCTCAAGCTGCATGTCCAAGGCTGGGGTACTAGAGTGAGCCTGTTGGGGGCAGACTGCACAACCACTGCACGCGAGTGACCTAAAATGTTTCTACCATGTCAAAAGAGATACTTTCCTTTTCTTTCATCCCTCCCAATGCAGAAACACACAGATCCACAACTTCTGCAGAATTAAGTCACCATGTGGACACAATTTTATATTTTGTTCTTTCTTTTTTTGTGTGTGTGTGGCTGGCAGGTATGGGGATCCAAACTCTTGAACTTCCCAGACCTATATATTTCTGTTCTTTCCACTTGGTATTTTGTCCTAAACAGGCTTTCACATTTTCCCACGTGGACTATAAAGAACAGTCCACCCAGCTGAGGACTGTTCGCACTAAGTCAGTTACCTGTGGCTGGATATTTAGGATGCTTCCATTATTTCCCTATTAGTGAAAACAATAAGTGAACATTTTAATAATTTTTACATTGTACATTTAGCATTTTATCTTCTCTCTTCTTTTGACTTATTTTCTTAGATGCAACATTAGTGGATTAAAGAATACATGTCTTTTAAATGCTTTTGCAGTAGACTGCCAAACTGCTTTCCAAAAGGGCTGCTGCAATTTATGCTGTTACTAACAGTGTGTGAAGCCTTGAATGAGTCATTTATATAATGCAGATAGTTAGCTGATGGCTATCACATCGTATTTGTTGAAAATGTTCACCCCAGTCTGTTCATTTTCAGTGTTATTTCAATTTTTCCAATCCATACATATTCACTGTAGAATCACTTAAAATTGCAGCAACACTTCATCTCTTTTAACTCACTGATAGCATTAAGAGGGGAGAGGGTGGAGTCTAGTCCCCTTTCCTCTTCCCCTTGGCACTACCAGTGGAATTGTGGCCTCTATCAATGGGGTTGACCATACTGCTCTCTCTACTTTTGTACATATTTGAAAAATTTTAACATTAAAATTAAACATCATGTCTGTAATATAGTTAACACAGGAAATTTACTCTGGAAGGCAGACTAGACAGACAAAAAGAAGAACATATTGCTTACCTCATGAAATGGAAAAGAAAGCACATCGGTTGGAACATTTTTCTGTCTGTAGATCCTATTAATGTGCTGAATATTCTTGTTGTCAACACAGATGATCCCCAGATCAAATTTCTCCACTCCTAAAATACTCCTTACAATTTCCATCTTCTTGCGAAGTGGCACTCTCCTAATGGGGATGAGTCGCTGCAGATTTCTAATCACCAAACTCATTTCAGGAAAAGCATCCCGGACCTTTAAAAATCTTTGGACAGGAACCTGTGGTTAAAGTTAAAGAAAGACCAATCAGGACTAGAAATCGATAAATTCCGTAAAAACACACACGCACACACAATCAAATCACTCTTTGGTAGACTTTATTGAAAATATTAAGGGTCACGAGAGCCTGAAGGAAATTAAGGCAGGTGGAGGAGAAGCGGCCATTAACAGAGAAAGGGGGTGAACCGTGTGGGGGCATGGCAAGGTGGA